CTCGTTGCATTCCTTGTCTCTTTCCGATCAAAATGATGGATCACTCGAGGTATTTTGAGGAACTTGAATTTGAACTTGAACCAAAAATCAAAATTTTGCAATCGCGTTTTTTTATCAATTAAAAAATTCGACCTAATGAAAATTTACTCATAATATTACTGTTACTGATTACGAAAAACATCACTTAACGGGAGCTTCTAGAATTAATCAACGCAATTATTAGCAACTGATTTAAACACATTTTACTTAAACCTGATTACACATTAAAAAAAAAACAATAATTTTACAAAGTTAAACTACTTACATTAGGAGGCATGTTTGTTTCTTCACGACCTGCCTGCCACTAACTACACAAATCACTTCGACTAGTTCTTGGAATACCAAAGTTGAGCACTAAACGCGGTCGTATCTGTTGGCAATAATTTATACTGATTCCTAAACCTAAACAATCGTTATCACTCTGAGAAGCCGACTGTTCATGTTCCTTTCTCTTTCGGTATCTGGTAAGTGCAGGAAAGGATGTTTTTACTTTATGCCTCCTCCCCCTTCAAGGGATTTTTCATAATAGAAAAAATCACCTGATCAAAAGTCGGTGCATTGGGAGGATCTTTACAACAATCGTGACAAGCAACGATATGATTTTTTATTTTGCTTTTCATAATGTGGGTTTTTAATCTTGCTTAAATTAGGATTCTGATGACTTTTAAAAACAGAATATTAAAGGTTTAACCAGTGGCGGATCCAGCTTTAAATTCAGGGGGGGGGGGCTAATGTAGAAAAAATAGTTTCGTGCAAGGGTGGCGTAAAATTAATGCAAAATTTCATGTTTTCCGTCCCGTTTTGCATGTTTCTCGGAAGCAAAATGAGCAAGAACGCCCGTTTTTACATCGTTCCAAAGAGAACTAAATGGCCTTTTTAGAAAATGAACCATCGATAAGGAAATGTTGCAGGTTTCTCAAAAAATGCTTGAATTCAAGAAATTTTAGATTTGCGTAGTTTTTTTTTTGAGTTGCAAAATCCACTTGAACATGACGCTGCTTTTTTCGAAGTTTCTCAAGAACCATTCGAGCCACAG